GAAGTCGGACAGCTTGATGTTGAAGTCCTTGTCGAGGAGGAGGTTCTCGCACTTGAGGTCGCGGTGGACGATGTCCAGGTCGTGGCAGTATTTGACGGCCGAGGAGAGCTGGCGGAACATCTTGCGCGCCACATCCTCGTGCAGGGCCCCTCGGCACTTGATGAACTCCAGCAGGTCGCCCTGGACCCCGAGCTCCATCACGATGTAGATCCTCCCGTCCGACGTCTCGAAGATCTCGTAGGTCTTGATGATGGACCGGTGGTTGACGGTCGCCAGGATCTCCATCTCACGGGGCAGGAATCTCTCCACAAAGTCCGTGGGGGTTTTCTTGCGGTCGATGATCTTGACTGCCACGTTGAACTTGAGGCGCTCCGAGTAGGCGGACTTGACCTTCGCGTAGGAACCCTTGCCCAGGTTGATGCCCACGATGTAACCCTTCTTCCTCAGGACTGCGGCATCGTCCATGGTGCCAGGAGCGGCCGGCACCGCTGCCCTCTACATCCCCTCTCCACGTGGGCCAGCGGTCATGGTCCTCGCGTACATCTGGGGGGCGAGCTCTGGGTGGGCTGGGCTTGGAGTTGTGGAATGCTCGGCATGGTCTCCAGGTGACTTCAGTGTGTGAAGTCATAAAGCCAGGCTGGGAGTGGGGACTGGGGCGGGCTGAATGGGGGCCCTAGAAGACGGGAAGCTGCAGTGGCCGCTGCTGGCCCAGGACTACGGTGAACCGCTCCACCCCTCTTCCCTGCTGGGGTGGGCAATACCAGGAATGCCCTTTGCGTCCGGCCTGAAGGAGGCTGGCCAGCTTCTGGCTGGGGGACTGACCCTGCATTGGCCTGGTCCCAAGAGGGGTGGCATCCTGGAGTTCCTTTGGGGTGTGAAGAAGCCCATCTCTGCTGTACGTGATCCGGAAGCCAGTGGCGACCAGCGCAGGCCTCTCTCGGTGAGCATGAGAGCTACTCCAGGGTGGGAAGCGGGATGGAGCAATTGCTCCGGGGAACCAGGAGGGGTGTGGTCAGTGGGAGCATGCAGAGATACTGCAAGGTCCAGTGGGGTGCACAGGGTTGGGGGTGGGGACTAGCCCAAGGATGGGCAGGCAGAGGCAACCCTGAGAGGAGTGGAAGAGAAAGGACGTGGGGTCCAGTAGGTGGAGGACTTTGTGGCTAATCGCATTGCATGGCACAGGACAGAAGAGCCGCGGCCCACGTTGCATTTTGAGATGGCTGCTGGCCTGAGACGTAGAGCGTTTTGGGGGTCTGCTTGGCAGCCAGTGCCTTTCGTCAGAGAAGAGGTGATGAGGCTTGAAGGGGCTTCTGGGCAGGGCAGGGGTCAGGGACTGCATGAAGTCAAAGCTAGTCCTTCCTACTCAGAGCCGTTGGAGGGTCTCCGGGGCGGTCGTTCTTTCAGGGAGCAGCACGCTGCGTTGATCTCCCATGCAGTGGCTGCTGGGCTCCAATCGCTGACCTTGCGGTGAGCAGCCCACATGGGCACATGCCAACAGGGCTCCCACCCCAACCCTGGCACTGAGTTCCCTGAGATAGCCTTCTCCCTGAGAAGGCTGCATGCCAGGCAGCCTTCCTCAGGGCACATTCCCCCGGGGCTTCTCCTACGAGGTCTCAGGAAACCCCAGTACAGGCGCCCCATGGTCCCACCTGTCTGGCTGTGTGGTCAGTGCCTGCTTCTCAGTGGCTGACCGAGGAAGGGTCCCCAGGAGGAAGGGGCCTGAGGAGCAGGGCCTGAAGGGGCTTCCGGCAGGCTGATAGGGAGGAGGAGCTTCTACTGGAGAGAATGCCAGCAGTGCAGACTCATCTGGAGACCAGGGTGCCACCTGTCTGGAGGTTAGTGTAGATCAGCGCCAGGCATAGGGCAGCTGGGGGTGGGTGCCAGGCAGGGCGACCCTAGGCTAACTCACCCGCCTTGGCGAGCCCTCCCCCAGATCTGCCCAGGCCCCTCAGCAACTCAGAGGGCTCCGGAGCCCCAGCTCTGTGTTTCCCTGTGCCCATGTCCCTCCCCCGCCCCCATTCCCCCAAATGCACTCTCCAAGGCCTCCCTCTGTGTCTGCCCTCCAGGCATGGGACCCTCCCTCATTTTTATTTTTCTTTTTTGGTGGGTTCTGCCTCTCACACTTGCTTCCCAGCCTTTTAGAGGCTGACACAGGCCCCTGCATAGCCAGAGGAGTTGTGGGCATGAAACATGTGGCCCCGCAGGCTGGCACGTAGGGTATGTGTGTGTTTGTGTGTGCCTTTAGGGGCTTAAGGCTGACCGGTTTGGGAAGGGACCATGTGTGTTTGTGTGTAACGTTTTAGGCTGGCCAGTAGGTCAAGGTCTCTCTTTCCCTCTCCCTCTGTCTCTGTCTTTTTAGGGGCTTAGAGAGATTGTGTGTATGTTTAGGGGCTTAGGCTGGCCAGTAGTGTGTATATCTGGTAGTGTAGTCAGGAGTTGAGGCTGGCTGGTTAGGCAGGGAGTGTGTGTGTGTGTGTGTGTGTGGGAGAGAGAGAGAGAGAGAGCGCGCATGCATGCCTGCCTATAGGGACTTAGAGTGGGCTTGGGGGCCTCTAGGATCACGGACTCTTCTGGGCTGGAGACCTGCAGGGCTTGTCCTTTTGACACGGGCAAGGTCACTTGCCTCTGATGTCCATCCCTCTGCTCTGTCAAGGGGACCCCTCTCCCCACTCTTTCATTTCTCAAGTACCAGAGAGTCTGTTCTAGGGCCTGACCATGATAGCGCAGAGGTGGGCCCTGGCCTTCAGGAGCCCCTAGAGGTTTGGTGGGAGAAATTGGCATGGCTCAGGGCCACCCCAGTCTGCAAGTGGGTAGTGGTGGCTGGGCCACAGCAGGTGCCCATGGTGCTGTGAGGACACAGAGCTAGGGGCTGGACTAGGAGGGTGCGGTGGTCTGTGAAGAGGCAGCCCGATGGGAACGTGCAAGGGTCAGCAGGAGCATGCAGGGTCAAGTCCTGCATATGTAGGGATCACAGAAGGGGTCAAGCCCCTTCTAGGTTGGGGACAACTTGAGGCCCTGTTGAGAGCGGGGTGCTCTGGCTGACAGGGAGTGCCACGTGGTGACAGGCCAGCAGGCTGCGGGGCTGAGAAAAGGTGGGGAGGCTGCAGCGCCTCTCCTCAGTGCTGGTCTGCCTGTGGGGGGGCTGAGGATCCTGGGTGGATGAGAGGGGAGTCTACCAGTCTGTGTGGTCTGGGTTGAGTGCCAGTTGCTTGGGCTGCCACCCAAGCATGTGAGTTCAAGGAGCCCACCTGCTCTCGGAACTGACCCCTCACCAGAAGGGCTGGCAGTAAATGAGCCCTCTGGCCCCCGCCCCCGCCCCCAGCGACTCCCTGTAGGAGGCAGACTCAGTGTCTGGAGGGTTGGGCAGAAGCCCCCAGGGCAAGGGAAAAGGGAGGAGCCAGGCGTGGAGGTGGCCTGGATGCCCAGCTGAGAGATGCTGGTGAGGGAACTGGCTAGTTTGGGAGTGAGTGGCGATGGCTCTTGCCCTCAGGAGGCAACCAGGAGCCACAGGCCCAACTGAGGGGGTGCAGAGCAAGGTACATGGTGGGAAGGGGTGCTCCGCAGGCCAGGTGAGGGCACCTGGGCCACACTTGTAGTGCCGCTTGTAGACCATCACCTCCGTGACTACTGGGGGTTCCTTTCCCAGCTAGCAGGGGCCAGACCAGGCCGCTGTGGGGAAGACTGGTGCCTTGTATCAGGGAGCATTCCCCCCTCACCCCCCCCCCCAACCCCCCATGAACGCTGGATAATGTATAAATTATTATTATTTTGTCATATCTTACACCGTCCCACCCCCCCCAACACCCGGGACAAGCTGGGGCTGGAGGTGAGTGGGATGAGTTAACGACCAAATTCACTGCCATTAAGTCTGTGCCAACCCATAGCAACCCTATAGGACAGGGTAGAACTGCCCCTCTGAGTTTTCGAGACCGTCGTTAAGGAAGTAGAAAACCCTGTCTTTTCTCCTGAGGAGTGGCAAGTGGTTTCGAACCACGGACCTTGCAATTAGTGACCCAATGCATAACCAAGTAACCCAACACATAATCCCTTTGCCACCAGGGTTTCTTAAAAAAAAGAAAAGGAAGAAAAAGACCAAACTCCTTACTATCTAGGCAATTCTGACTCATGGCAACCCCGTAGAATGAGGCGAACCGCCCTTGTGGGTTTCTGTGGCTCTGTGGGGCCCCAGGATGACAGTAAAACCCCCAAAGGATCCCGGCCCGGCCCAGCTCTCCCCCTGGCCCAGGTGGGGCGATTTGGGGCACTGGCTTTAACAACTGCATAGCAGGTTGGGGGTCTGAGAGGCTCTCAGCAGTGGCCCCAGTGTTGGTAGTCTTGTGGGGCAGGGGTTTCGAAGGCAGGCTCTCAGAGCTCCCGAGAGAGGGGTCTCTTGGCTATCTGATCCCCTCCTGCCTAGTACAAAGGACTCCTCCTCCTTCCCCCCTTGGGGTCTCTCTGGAAATGCACCATCCCCTCTGCTCTGTGCTGCTGCGCACCTCCCCCCCCACTGCACCCCCCAGGGCCTGAGAGCACAGAGTGACCGGCAGGGCTGGACACACTGGCTTGTATTCTGTCCAACCCAGAGTGGGAAGCCAGGGGCAATCCGGTTGGACAAAGACATTCATAGGGAGGTGGTGATATGTGGGGGTCATCATTAATATAGATTTACTGTTCCTTTAGCCCTAACGAAGGGTGCAGTGTTCAGAGGGAGGGATAAAGGACTAACGAAAATAGCGGCTCGTCCCAGACACGCTCTCCCACCGGCTGGTCCCTGGGCCTCCTCTGCGTGCAGGCTGGACGCCGTACCATGAGCTCTGCTTCTTCCCTGCTGGCCCTCTGGGCCGAGGCTCATGGGCCGTTTGTCTCTGGAGGCTGCTGCTGTGCAGACTCTGCAGCCTCTTCCTTGGTGGCCTCAATGGCCGACGGCTTGTTGTTAAAGGCCATGTTCTCGGGCTGCTTAGACACTTCCAGCGCCACCGATGCCACTGCCGGCGCTGCCGCTGCTGCTGCCACGGCCGCCACCTCAGGGTTGATCTTGGGCGCAGCCTCCTCTCGTGCCTCTACCTTGGTGGCAGAATGTTTGTCAATGGTGGTGGCATCAGGGACCCCCAGAGTGTCAGGGGTCCGGGAGCTCTCCCCCTCTTTGTTGCTGGCCCCGGCGGGCAGACTTCGGGCCTTTGGCTGCACCCAGCAGTGGTTGAGGATCTCGTCGATGTGCAGGCGCCGGTTGACGTCCGGCTGCAGCATGCGGTAGATGAGGTCCTTGCACTCGCCCGTCAGGTGCTTGGAGCGCGGGAAGTTGACGCGATGCTCCTTCTGGATGCGCAGCATCTTCTTGATGTCGGAGTCGTCATAGGGCATGGAGCCGCAGACCATGATGTAGAGGATCACGCCCAGGCTCCAGATGTCGTAGACCTTGGGCTGGTAGGGGATGCCCTGCAGGACCTCGGGGGCCGCGTAGGCGGCGGACCCACAGAAGGTCTTGCTCAGCGTCAGCCGGCCGCTGTCCTCCCGCAGGCAGCGCTTGGAGAAGCCGAAGTCGGACAGCTTGATGTTGAAGTCCTTGTCGAGGAGGAGGTTCTCGCACTTGAGGTCGCGGTGGACGATGTCCAGGTCGTGGCAGTATTTGATGGCTGAGGAGAGCTGGTGGAACTTCTTGCGGGCATCGTCCTCGTGCAGGGCGCCCCTGGTCTTGATGAACTCGAGCAGGTCGCCCTGGACCCCGAGCTCCATGACGATGTAGACCTTGCCGTCCGACGTCTCAAAGATCTCATAGGTCTTGACGATAGAACGATGATTGAGCATGGCCAGGATCTCAATTTCCCTGGGAAGGAATTTCTCTAAGAAGTCCGTGGGGGCTTTCTTGCGGTCGATGATCTTCACCGCCACGTTGAACTTGAGGCGCTCGGAATAAGCCGACTTGACTTTGGCATACGAGCCCTCTCCCAAATTTATCCCCATGATGTAGCCTCGTCGCTTGAGGACGGCTGCGTCATCCATGGTGCCAGCAGCGCCCAGTGTCTCCGGGGCTGCCCTCGACCTCCCTGCAGGACATGGGCCAGCGACGTCCTCATTGACACCGTGCACAGAGCCCTCTGGGCTGGCCGGGCCCGCTGTCCCAGCCTCCTAGAGGGCCAAGAGACTCTGGGTTGGAACCTTCAGCATCGTCTCCAGGGTGATTTCAGTGAGTGAAGTCACAAAGGAGTGCCCTGGGGAAACAACAAGGCTCGGGCCTACGCCTCCTAGAATCTGGGAGGACCCACCAGTGGGCTACAGTGGGACAAAAGCCTACCGAGAGCAGCCTCAGGCCAGCCTGGGATCAGAGACAGAGGCCCGGGGAGACGTGAGTCTGCCCACACTTCCCTCGACCCCATGCCAGGCCTGCCTGTAGAACAGAGGGGTGCTGATTGCACCTGGGGGTCTCCCAGGAAATTACGAAACCCAGGTCTGTGATGGTCAGGGTCCCCAGAAAAACACGGGAGACACTCTCAAGATTAGGATCGCCTGTTGTTGTTGTTGTTAGGAGCCATCAAATTGGTTCTGACACTCTAGCCACCCTATGCACACCAGAACAAAACCCAGCCAGATCCTGTGCTAGCCTCATTGTGGAAGCCTCATTGTGGAAGCCACTGTCCGTCCATCTCCTGGAGGGCCCTCCTCTCTGTCGCTGCCCCTCCACTTTTACCAAGCATCATGTCCTCCTCCAGGGACTGGTCTCTCCTGACAACAATCCAAAGTCTGTGAGATCTTGCCCCTCAGCAGCACTCTGACTGTTACGTTTTCCAAGACAGATCGAGGTGTCCTTTCTGCAGTCTGTGGTACTCTGGACATCCCTCTCCAGCACCACCATGCAAACGCATCGGTTCTTCTTCGGTCTTCCTTGTTCCATGCCTAACTCCCACAGGCGTAGGAGGCCATGGAAAAGACCATGGCTTGGGTCAGGCGCACCTTCATCCTCAAAGGAACATCCTTGCTCTTCGATGCCCTAAAGAGGTCTCATGCAGCTTGTTTCCCCAGTGCAATATAAAAGGGCTTAATCCAGGCACTATTTTTTCAAATCATTTTATTAGGGGCTCATAATCATAATCCATACGTACATCAATTGTGTAAAGCATATTTGTACATTCATTGCCCTCATCATCCTCAAAACATTTGCTCTCCACTTAAGCCCCTGGCATCAGCTCCTCATTTTTTCCCCTTCCTCCCTGCTCC